GAAGTCGGTGTATTTTTTTTCTTAAAATTATTTTATTATGTAAATATATTCGTGTTCTAAATATTGCTACAATATCAATACGTACACATATATGCATTTATTAGTAATAATTTAAATATAATTATTGCGAATACATTTACTTATTAAATTATTATATGTATATATGTAAAGAAAGTATACTTTCTTGATTTTTGAACTGCGCGCGCTTCAAGCAGTTTTTCCGGGACAGAGCGCGCGGTAGAGCACGTGGGAGAGCACGTGGAAAAAAAAGTCGTAGAATACATTAGAAGAAATAAAGACGGGACTAAAAAACTTAGATTGTCGTTTCTGTGTTATAGGTGAGGATGTAAATACAATATTATAAGACTACTGTTGTGTAATAATTAATAAAATTTTAAAATCTGTGTTATAGAGAAACACATTCTGGTTTTAATAGTGTCCACCCCAATAGAATAATCTTATATATATTGACAAATGAAAGTATATATTTATTGAATTAACATATTTATTATAACATAATATACATATAACATAGGTAGTAACTAGGCTAAACATAGGATATTAATAATATTCATAGATACTAATTTTTACAGAAATATTACGAAAGTATCCAATAGTGTTACAGTCAACCATAACAGCAATGAACAATTATACGATTTTCAATACAAAAGTCACCAGTCCGATTACATAACATGTAATCGTGTTCGTTGAAACTGGATCCCGATATTTATCCAGAATCGGAAATTTCTGATCCTAACAGTATTCTTTTTGCAAATGCGAAGATCAGACATCCTAAAATTTGCTCAAGAAATTGTATTGATAAGATATCGTTTGATTACAATTTAGAAATGAAATAAACTCCAATGTAAGTGCAATCAATTCGTTTCTCTTTTTAGGTGCAAGATTTGCCAAGATTTAGTCATAGCAATAATGAAAATTTGTGCAAACTTCACAATCGATGTATGCGATAAAACTATTAAGTACAAAGGAGACCTTAAATCACAATTTCTTTTACAACTAAATATATCTAAATATATAAAAAAGATACAAAAAAGAATATCAATCAATTTAACGAACGATAACAGCAAACTTTACAATTAGAATCAAACTTTGAGAAAATCACAGATAAACCCGAGTTTAAGAAAATATTAATAGGAATAAAATATTAAATTAATGCACAATTATAATGGAGCTTCTAAGCGAACTAATTTTTGCGTAAACTATTATTACAAAACAATATAAAATTTCATTTCATATACTGTGACGGATCGGTGGGGGAAAGAGGGGGTTCCCTGGAGTGGGGGCAGTTAGGGAAAACGGCCCTCCACGCACCGATGCTCACACCCACGGACGATTTCTTTAATGGGGCGCCAGTGCTAATGCACTCGTCCGGAGTAATCGCCCTTCCGGCTGCTCTGTCGGGAGCGGGAATCAGAGGGGGTCAGAAAAAACTAGTAAATGACCCGCGAGTTCGTATCCAAAAGAAAGTGCTTTTATTCGGGCCTCCAAGTAGGCCACGTAAGCAAAACAGAAAAAATGAATTCGCGTGGGCCCCACGCGTTACAAGCAACGGTCGAGGAAAAGGGGTCGACTCGCCAGTTGCGAGGGAGGCTTTCGCGGCGCGGGGGCTCACGGTACGCGCGAGTACAAAGAT